ACAGTAGGTATGGTGTTCTTTGGATGCAACTCAGCATTCTCTCTCCTCCAAACATGACGAGGTGTGTTTCTACCAAACAGTTCTATTTTGGTTTCATCTGACCATATGACATTTTCCCAATCCTCTTCTGGATCATCCAAATGCTCTCTAGCAAACATCAGACGGGCCCGGACATGTACTGGCTTAAGCAGGGGACACGTCTGGCACTGCAGGATCTGAGTCCCTGGCGGCGTAGTGTGTTACTGATGGTAGCCTTTGTTACGTTGGTCCCAGCTCTCTGCAGGTCATTCACTAGGTCCCCCCGTGTGGTCCTGGGATTTTTGCTCACCGTTCTTGTGATCATTTTGACCCCACGGGGTGAGATCTTGCGTGGAGCCCCAGATCGAGGGAGATTATCAGTGGTCTTGTATGTCTTCCATTTTCTAATTATTGCTCCCACAGTTGATTTGTTCACACCAAGCTGCTTGCCTATTGCAGATTCAGTCTTCCCAGCCTGGTGCAGGTTTACAATTTTGTTTCTGGTGTCCTTCGACAGCTCTTTGGTCTTCACCATAGTGGAGTTTGGAGTGTGACTGTTTGAGGTTGTGGACAGGTGTCTTTTGCACTGATAACAAGTTCAAACAGGTGCCATTGATACAGGTAATGAGTGCAGGACAGAGGAGCCTCTTAAAGGAGAAGGTACAGGTCTGTGAGAGCCAGAAATCTTGCTTGTTTGTAGGTGACCAAATACTTATTTTCCACCATAATTTGCAAATAAATTCTTTCCAAATCAGCCAATGTGATTGTCTGGATTTTTTTTTTCTCATTTTGTCTCTCATAGTTGAGGTCTACCTATGATGCCAATTACAGGCCTCTCTCATCTTTTTAAGTGAGAGAACTTGCACAATTGGTGGCTGACTAAATACTTTTTTGCCCTACTGTATTTTCATCTCTCTGCAACTAATATATTAGCTTTTATGAGGGATGAAACATACTCCTTTGATGTATGTATATACTTTTAGAGCTCCATAGACAGCTCGGAGACCCCCTGGTGTCATGAAGCCGAAATGTCTGCGTTTCTCTTTTAAGCTCCAGGAAGATGGCAGAGTCTGATTACTTATAAGTGACAAAATCTTATTTGCACCCAGGTGCCACTTCCAGACTAAACTAGTCCCTTCAGATGCTAATTGATGATCATCTGTCTCTGAATACCTAATTTCTTTAATGACAAGGACTGAGACTACATTTAGGATTACATATTGCTACAGGTTTTAACAATGAAAACCAGCGCAAACCCACATATTCAATTGCATTACTCAACTTGAAAAATCATTTTTTTTTGCTAATAAAGATATATATAATAAATTATATATAAATAAATTAATATAAAAATAAAAACATTAAATTCAATTCATAAGTCCAGTGACAAAAAAAATCAAGTGATAAAAAATCGAAAAAGTCCCAAAAAAAATATATATTTATATACAAAAATAAATTTTAACAGTCCCGTGACAAAAATAAATCAATTTATAATTATCATTGGATTCTTCCGTGTTACTGATCCCTTCACCATCCACCATGCAGAAATCAACATTAACCGCACTCACCAGTAATATTAGTAAGTCACACACCTTTCAGGAATATTAAGGCTTTATTCTCCTGGACCCCCTTTGCTTTTCAGTGAGACCTCCAAAGACCCCCACAGCTATTTCCTGGCAGGACCTCAGCTATATCATTTAGGTACCTGGCTTCTCGCTTACTCCTCTCACCGAATCCCCCAAAGGAAATCAGGCGTCAAAGAAAAGACCATAGCGTGATAAGACCGTAGTAATCTCTCCTCCAAATAATCTCTCCAGACCACGTCACATTCTTTTGCGGGATATAGCCCGCGGTGCTTTTATTCAAAACAACAATGAATTTCTTCCAAAAATGATCCACTTTTTGGTTTACTGTACCTGAAAAGTACACATTGTTGTTTCTTATAAGAGACCCCACAGTCTAGTGTGCAGCAGGATGGAGGAGACCTCAGCTACAGACTCATCTATTCTAGGCTAAGATGGCCCCTTGGAACGCATCGCTCGGCTACAAAAGCGGGGGCCAGGAGCCACTCACTGAAATGACGTCAGACGACGTTGACCAGGCAACCGGAAGTGGATCAGTCAACGCGTTTATACCCCACCCACAGGGCGTTATCAAGACCTGGTCGATTTTTTATCACTTGATTTTTTTTTGTCACTGGACTTATGAATTGAATTTAATGTTTTTATTTTTATATTAATTTATTTATATATAATTTATTATATATATCTTTATTAGCAAAAAAATGATTTTTCAAGTTGAGTAATGCAATTGAATATGTGGGTTTGCGCTGGTTTTCATTGTTAAAAGTTTTTTGGTCTTTGTACCTGTGCACAGCAGCATCTCACGGGGATTTGTGTGTTAAATAGGAGAGTCCTGGGCGCTGAGGTTTTGTTTTCTTTACATATTGCTACAGGTCACCTCTCAGCTACTCAAATCTGTAAATTTTATGTCACACCACGGGACAGGTAAGTGTGTGTTTGTTAAAAGTCAGCAACTACAGTTTTTGTAGCTGCTGACTTTTAACAAACACAAAAACGGCTGGAACTCCGCTTTAAGAAAAAAAACTTGGTTTTCTTTGCTACATGTGCTGCTGGGCAGTGCCCAGCTCCAGATGCTTTCTGATTGAAAATCTCTTTTCTATTAGCCTTTAAAATGAAAAGAATTTTCAAGATTCACCTCTTATTGAGGGTTTACATTGTTCGCAATTTGCACATTTTTGAGGGGTCCATCAAATCTTCTGCGAATTGAACCCAGGCAGATACAATTAGGCACATAAAATCAAAGGGGAGGGGGGATTAGAGACATGAAGGAGAAGGAATAAACCATATGAAATGAAAGGGGGAGGGGACAGTAGGCACATGGGATGAAGGGGGGGGGGGGCAATTGAGCACATGAGATGAAAGGCGGGAGGGAAAATTAAGCACCTGAGATGAAAAGGGAGGGGACATAAGGCACATGAGAGGGGCAATTAGGCACATGAGATTAAAGGGGGAGGGGACATAAGGTACATGAGAGGAAAGGGGGGGCAGGGCATAAAGCACATGAGATGAAATGGGAAGAGGAAATTAGGCAAATGAGATGAACAGGAGGAGGAGACATAAGATGAAAGGGGGATAAGACATAAGGAACCTGAGATGAAAGGGGGAGGGGACAATAGGCTCATGACATGAAAGGGGAGGGGACATAAGGCACATGAGATGAAAGGCGGTTTTAAGGCTCATAACATAAAAGAGAAGAGGACATAAGCAACATGAAATGGGGGGGGGGGAAATTAGACACATAACATGAAAGGGGAGGAGAGATTAGGCTCATGACATAAAAGGGAAGAAGACATTAGACACATGAGATGAAAGGGGAGGAGACATTAGGCACATGAGATGAAGGGTGGGGAAAGGACATTGGGCACATGCGATGAAAGGAGGAGGGGACATTAGGCTCATGACATAAAAGCGGAGAGGACACTGACCACATAACATAAAGGGGGAGAGGACATTAAGAACAAGACATAAAAGGGGAGGGAACATTAGGCACATGAGATGAAGGGTGGGGAGAGGACATTGGAAACATGAGATGAAAGGGGAGGGGACATCGGGAACATGAGATGAAAGGGGAGGGGTCATCGGGAGCATGAGATGAAAGGGGAGGGGACATCGGGAGCATGAGATGAAAGGGGAGGGGACATCGGGAGCATGAGATGAAAGGGGAGGGGACATCGGGAGCATGAGATGAAAGGGGAGGGGGGGACATCGGGAGCATGAGATGAAAGGGGAGGGGACATCGGGAACATGAGATGAATGGGGAGGGGACATCAGGAACATGAGAATAAAGGGGAGGGGACATCGAGAACATGAGAAGGGGAGGGGACATCGGGAACATGAGATGAATGGGGAGGGGACATCGGGAACATGAGATGAACGGGGAGGGGACATTAGGAACGAGAAGAAGGGTGGGGAAAGGACATAGGGAACATGAGATGAAAGGGGAGGGGACATCGGGAACATGAGATTAACGGGGAGGGGACATCGGGAACATGAGATTAACGGGGAGGGGACATCGGGAACATGAGATGAAAGGGGAGGGGACATCGGGAACATGAGATGAAAAGAGAGGGGACATCGGGAACATGAGATGAATGAGGAGGGGACATCGGGAACATGAGAATAAAGGGGAGGGGACATCGAGAACATGAGAAGGGGAGGGGACATCGGTAACATGAGATGAACGGGGAGGGGACATCGGGAACATGAGAAGAAAGGGGAGGGGACATCGGGAACATGAGATGAACGGGGAGGGGACATTAGGAACGAGAAGAAGGGTGGGGAAAGGACATAGGGAACATGAGATGAAAGGGGAGGGGACATTGGGAACATGAGAAGGGTGGGGAGAGGACATTAGGAACATGAGATGAAAGGGGAGGGGACTCCGGGAACATGAGATGAAAGGGGAGGGGACTCCGGGAACATGAGATGAACGGGGAGGGGACATTAGGAACGAGAAGAAGGGTGGGGAAAGGACATAGGGAACATGAGATGAAAGGGGAGGGGACATTGGGAACATGAGAAGGGTGGGGAGAGGACATTAGGAACATGAGATGAAAGGGGAGGGGACTCCGGGAACATGAGATGAAAGGGGAGGGGACTCCGGGAACATTAGATGAAGGGTGGGGAGAGGACATTAGGCTCATGGCATAAAAGGGAGGAGGGATTTAGAAATGTGCACAGGCAGGATGGAGATTAGACATCTCGGCCAGAAGATTCCGAATACAACACACAAGAAGTCAGAGGTGCTGGAATTAGGGAGGGGACCGGCATGTATGACAAGAATGAGAACTCCCTGACACTGCATGCACCTCTCCCTCACACCCCAGTCCTTCACACTCTCATACACCAACTTCAGAGCGAGCAGGAGGTCACATGGCTCCAGGGATCACATGACTGCGATGTCCCCTCCCCCCCAGCCTGTATTTCAGGAAGACGTCTGTCGGTGGTCTGAGCTGTTCCATGTGGTCCAGCTGGGGATGCAGCGCGGTGGCCGGCCTCCTGGGGGCGCTTTCAGCATGCTCTGCCAAACTAGCGCTGGGAGCGGATTACCTGAGAGAGCTGTGTGGGGCGTACACCGGGGAGCGGGCCGAGTTGTGTGATTGGGTAAGCAGTTGTCAGTGTCACGTCAGCTAACCCCATGGCCACAGCCCACTAATACTGGGGTAATGATCACGTTTTATGTGTTCCTTTAGAACCAGAGGGGGAGTTATGACTATTGGAGCAGCCAATCAGCTTCTAGCTTTCATGTTCAACGCTTATCTGAACAGGTTGAGGAAGCTGATTGGTCACTATGCTGGGCTGCATGTTTTATGAAAGAATTCACATGTGATGATGAATGGATGGGGGTGAGTTTATCCCAATGATATTATGTATTGACATACATGGCTGACACTGCACTCATTACGCTGAACTCATCATCTGCCTTCACAAGTATACCCCAATAAGGATGCACATGGATTGGTGAGAAATCTGGATCTTTGCTGCTTTCATCCCTAATAGCCGCACAGAGACGGCAAAGTAAAAACCATAAACTACAATGTGATTGGATGAGATAAGAATCCAGTGAAAGATCTGGTATTTTGTGAATATCTATCCCTGTGTTGTCTGTAGATGTTTATACAGGGCTGCTGTTAGAAACCACAGGGCCCCATACAGCCAACCTGACAGGGTCCTGCCCAAAAAAATAACTGTTTATTATGATTCAGTTATGAATGAACACAGTGAATAACTGGTATCAATCACTCATTGTGTTCATTCATGAAAGGAAGGGTCTGGTAAATTCAGTGACATATTCCCCCACTATCCATCCTGAAGGATCCTATTGTGTGCTTGCAGCTGCCAGAGGTAAGGAGAGAAGGGAACCCAGCAGCACTGTGGGGGTGGGGGCACACAGGAGGGGCTTGGGCAGCAGGGGAAAACATATGGTGCACAGAGAGGGAGATGGGTGCAGCGGGGGCAATTACTGGAACTGATCCCTTGTATGGCTCTCTCTGCAGCAGCTGAAAGTTGGCTTCTTCTCTTGTCCCTCCCACTGGCTTTCAGCTGCTGCAGAGAGAGCCATACAAGGGATTGGTTTCAGTAATTGCCCCCCATGCGGTGCTGATCACCCTTCCTGCACACATCCCATTCACCTGGTTGCCTGGGCCCCCCTGCTGACCCGAGCCCCACACAGGAGGACTGGTGGTACCCCCTTATCCACAGCCCTGAGTTTATAGCAGTCACAGTTTCCATTCCTTGGCTGGCCACACACTATACATTCTGATTGCGCAATCACTTAACCCTTTCACAACCAGAGCCGATTTTGGTTTTTTTTGCACACATTAAAAAAAAATAATTTTAGGCCTGAAGATTATTTAAAAAAACCCAAACATTATACGTTTTCTGAAAGCAGAGACCCTTTGAGAACGATATTGTGGTAATTCTTATTTTTGTTATGTCACATATTTGCTAAACAGTTTACCAAATGTAAATTCACTACATCTCCATTGTAGGGCCGGTTCACTACACTTGCAGTCCAGTATGTTTATTTTTCTGCATCAAAAACACACAGAAAGTAGGTTATATGGCTTCCAATAGCATAGTTCACACCAGTGCAACCAGTTCCAGTGCATTCCAGAAAAAAAAAAAGTAGAACATGTTGCATTTTTTTCTCTACTGAACAATACTGGAAGCCTCAGTTCTCCAGGGACTCTCATTCCTGAGAGGAGTCATTGGCTCCCGCTGCTGTCCATTACAGCCAGTGAGCCAATCAGGACAGGGAGGGGGTGGAGCCGAACGGAGGCTCTATGTGTGAATGGACATGCAGAGTCATGGCTCAAGAGCATGCCTGCTCAGGTGCCCCCCATAGCAAGTTGCTTACTGTGGGGGCTCCCAACAGGAGGGAGGGGCCAGGAGCGCCAGCAGGGGACTCGAGAAGAGGAGGGTCAGGGCTGTCATTGCACAACGCAGGTAAGTATGACATGTTTGTTATTTAACCACTTTCACCCCTTCCTGCCCAGGCCAATTTTCAGCTTTCAGTGTTTTCGCACTTTGAATGACAATTGCGTGGTCATTCAACACTGTACCCATATGAAATTTGTATCATTTTTTTTGAGACCTATAGAGCTTTCTTTTGGTGGTATTTAATCACCACTGGGTTTTTTTATTTTTTGCTAAACAAATGAAAAAAGACCAAACATTTTGAAAAAAAAATATTTTTCATAGTTTCTGTTATAAAATTTTGCAAACAGGTAATTTTTCTCCTTCACTGATGTGCGCTGATGAGGCTGCACTGATGGGTACTGATGAGGCTGCACTGACAGGCAGCAGTGATGGGCACTCATAGGCTGCACTGATGTGCATTGACGAGGAGGCACCAATAGGCTGCTCTGAAGGTCACTGATAGGCAGCACTGACTGGTGGCATTGATGGACACTGACTGGCAGCACTGATGGACACTGTTGGGACTGCAATGATGGACACTGTTGGGGCTGGGGATGCATTGGACTGCCTCTGATTTTTTTAAATACGTTTGTCGATTACCGCCTCTTCTCTTTCCTCACACTGTCACAGGGTGAGTTAGGTGCAGCCGATAACCGGAAACTGTATGTACATTGTGATCAGCTGTGTCATTGGACACAGCTGATCACGTGGTAAAAGGGTGCTGTGATTAGCCCTTTACCCTGTCATGTGATCAGCTGTGTCCAATGGACACAGCGATAACAGAGCTCGCTGGGTGCGCACCCCAGGTGGCACGGTTCTGGAGGACATCATATGACACCCTCCCAGAACTAGATCGTCATTCGGCTATAGCCCAGTTGTCAAGTGGTTAAAAAAACCAAGACTTTAGTATCACTTTAAGGTGAAGAAAGAGAAAAAAAAGAGGGGGAAAAAATGCACCGGAGCGTATAAAAAAACACATTGAAACACATCAAAGATGCATATGCAAAAATGCATTTGAACTGTGTTTCTATGGTGTGAACAAGCCTGTAAGGCACACAAACCTCAATATATTACACATTTTGGTAAAATAAAAAAGATCAGGTTAAGCCGAGTAAATAGATACCAAACATGTCCAGCTGTAAAATGTCTGCTCTCTTTCACTACAGTAGGCCATTATTGGATGAAGGAGGAAGCAGATTCCTCCACCTGACAGCTGTTGGTGCCCCTTCACTCTGCCTGACTGGAGAGACAATATCATCACTCCTGTCAGTCAGACAGTAAACAGGAGTTTTCATGTTTGTCTTCTCCCTAGTATTGGGTGAGAGGTGCAGTTCTCTTTTAGCCCACTAGAGGTCTCCCTTAGAACAGGTATAAATAAAGCTGGTTCCAAGTGGTAGGTTGGTTGGAGAGGTGAGGGTGTAAGGAAGGCAAGCGAATGAAGCAGTGTTCCTGTTTTGGCCCCCACAGAAATGCCTGGGGCCTTCTGTGGCTAGATGAAGTGGCTCCGGATAATGGCCTTTCCCAGCTGGGAATCCTGTAGAAAGCTTCTCCCTACTGGGCTATGCTTAGGGAAAGCATGGATTTTTTTTACCCTGCAAATGGGCAAGAGTTGGACAACACTGTCCAGCAATTGATATCATCTGGTAATTTAAAGGCTAAGTTTGCAGGGAAAAAAATGTGCATTTATTATTTTTTTTCACAAAACAAAGCATTGCACCCATGATTGGATAGCAGGTGCAATGTAAGGCTCCTGCCCGCTGTTCCTCCAGCTTCTGCCAGTACCTCTGTACAGGCTTTGAGTTAAGATGCAGAAGGAAGTGTCAATGGACTACAAGTGCGCTGATCAACATACTCACTCTTTTGAGAACTACGAGTTCATCTGTCACAGTGACAGACCAGACTTGTAGTGTATTCAGCAACAGATAAGGAGAATGGAAGTGCATAGAGCAGCCCTGAACCTCCTTTTCTCTGGTACCCCACTGGTGCTCCCAGCTCCTCCCCTCCACTGAATGCCCCCATAGAAAGCCGCTATCTATGGGGGCATTCAAGTGAGCTCATTCCCTGCATCTATAGATACAAACAGCGGGGCTAGGCCTCCCACCCACTCCTTGTCAGTGGCTTTGATTGACATCGACGGGAGCCAATGGATTCAGCTGCCTTAGAAAATACAGTGAGACCAGGAAGTGAGGGGAGAGAAGAGCTGCAGATATGCACAGCGCATGAATGAGGGCTCAGGTAAGTAAAAAGTGTGTGTGTGTGTGTGTGTGGGGGGGGGTGATGATACTGATGCCTAAACATTTTTTACTTTAAAGTGTTACTAAACCCAGGATCCTGCATTCACTATATTCGGTCTCCCACAGTACACACAACATGAAAATGCAATTAGTTTAGTAAATATAAACTACTTAATACCTTTTCTCATCAGCAGTTAAAGCAGTCTTGTGACTTCTATCAGTGTTCAGTCGAGCACTGGTTAAAGCTTGTAGGCGGTTTCATTCTGCTCTGCGTGTCTTATGAATCTACAGGGACCCTGAACCTCTGTCTGGACAGCGCTGATTGGCCCTGTGCTGATCACATGCACCCTCCCAAAGAAAAAAATAACCTCTCTAGCACACTAAACTGAGCATGTGCAGAGTTCTGTACTATCAGCAAATGGATTGGGGACAGTAGAAGAAGGGGAGGATCAGAGAACACCAGATCACCAGCCTTTTTACCCGATTAACCCGATCAAACTAATGCAGCCACTACATCCAAAGATTGAGATGATGCAATATATTACATTTTGGGGTTAGGGTTTAAAGTGTTACTAAACCCAGCCTGCATTCACTTAGCATAAATATATGAGAAAGAAAAAAGGAATTTTGAATTCGCTGTAAAATCCTTTTCTAAAGCTGGGCCATACATGGGTCGAATTCCAAAAGAATTTTCTTTCGAAAATCTTTTCTAAGAATTTTTGTTCAAATTCACACCATTAGTGGGTCACAGAAACTGCCGATTTTTCGTGTGACCATCGAATATGAGTGATCGGAAATGTTGGAAATTTTTTGAAAACCAACAAATTTTTAAATCAATGTTAGCAGAATCATGCAAAAAATATATAGCTGTGACCTGGAAAGAAAGGAAAATTCTTGCTCACAAAAATTATTTTCTGTAGCAACAAATTTAAGGCTTGGTTGGTTGAATTTGGAAATCAGTGGTGGCACCATAGCATTACAAAACGCACAAGATTTATGATTTTCTAAAGAAAATTCGTTCGGAATTCGACCCATGTATGGCCTGCATTACAGTCCATCGGACAACACAGGTGCCACCCCATTGGTGCTTATGATCATGCTCCTGGTACTGCTTTGCTGCAAAACTGAGGCATACTGGTAGTGGAAAAGTTATACCTAGAACTATCCTACAGTTTTTTGTTTGCCAGTGTCCAGTCCTCCACTAGTCAACAGTATAACCTGAAGGTTTAGCACTTTCTGTGTCCCTCAGTGCATTCCAAAAAAACAGGATTTCACGGGCAGTACAAAAATCCTGTTTTTGTTTATCATTTCTTACTTCCAACATTTACAAGTTTAGTTTGTTCCTGCAAGCTTTGCGAATGAAAACTCAAACAAGCAATACTAAACTATGTCTTTGTCATTTCAGATCCACCTACTACTTCGCCTTTGTTGTATAGGACTTGTGTTTCTGTGCAATGCTGCTATGTGGACATTCTTTGCTAAAGCATTACGATTCTCCTCCTCTTCAGCAGCTGCAACTGTAACAACAACTGCTTCAAATTTTATTTCATCTGTAAGTAGTTAAATAGACAACAGTTATGTATCCATTTCCTTTCATTAGAATTCTGATTGCATCACCCAGTCCCTCATTATATCCCCTATAGTGTTAAGTGAAAATTCCAGCTTAGGTGAAAGTAGAAAAAAACACGCCATATGTCTTACAGGTACACAAAAAAAATCTCTGCCACTTGGGGTACAAAAAGTTGAATTACGATATCCTGTGCCCAAGATATTTAAATTTTGTAAACAACATCACCTACACTTCTTTGTGGGGCCAACTAGACTTGTGGTGTCTAACATGGAAATGGCAATTCCATTTCCAAAATATCAGATGATAGTCATACATTTAGTAATAAAAGCAGAACAAAACACGCACATAACAGATAACCCTTTCATGGAAACTTCATTGTAGGGGTTCCTCTGCATGATCCTGCCACTGTATCCCCTCTCACGTCAGCCATTGGTGTGCAGTGACAGTAATAAATACACAGCCTTCCCATTGGTGTGCAGTGCAAGCAATAAAAACACTCCTCCCTTCTCATTGATGTGTAGAGGGTAAAATAAATATCCCCTTTGCCACTAGTGGGCAGTGGCAGCAATAAATACCCCCCCCCCCCCCCCCGCAGTTGTGCAGTGGCAGCAATAAACACTTTCCATTTCCTATTGGTGTGCAGTGACCGCAATAAATGTTCCTCTTCCCATAGGTGTGCAGTGGCATTAATAAACGTCCCTCTTCCCATAGGTGTGCAGTGGCATTAATAAACACCCCTCTCCCCATTGGTGTGCAGTGTGGGTGTGGAGTGGCATTAATAAACACCCCTCTCCCCATTGGTGTGGAGTGGCATTAATAAACACCCCTCTCCCCATTGGTGTGCAGTGGCATTAATAAACACCCCTCTCCCCATTGGTGTGCAGTGGCATTAATAAACACCCTTCTCCCCATTGGTGTGCAGTGGCATTAATAAACACCCCTCTCCCATTGGTGTGTGGATTAATAAACACCCCTCTCCTCATTGGTGTGCAGTGGAATTAATAAACACCCCTCTCTCCATGGTGTGCAGTGGAATTAATAAACACACCCCTCTCTCCATTGGTGTGCAGTGGCATTAATAAACACCCCTCTCCCCATTGGTGTGCATTGGCAATAATAAACCCCTCTCCCCATTTGTGTGCAGTGGCATTAATAAACACACCCCTCTCCCCATTGGTGTGCAGTGGCAATTAATAAACACACCCCTCTCTCCCATTGGTGTGCAGTGGAATTAGTAAACACCCCTCTCCCATTGGTGTGCAGTGGAATTAAAACACCCCTCTCCCCATTTTGTGCAGTGGCATTAATAAACACCCCTCTCTCCATTGGTGTGCAGTGGCATTAATAAACACCCCTCTCCCCATTGGTGTGCAGTGGAATTAGTAAACACCCCTCTCCCCATTGGTGTGCAGTGGAATTAATAAACACCCCTCTCCCCATTGGTGTGCAGTGGCATTAATAAACACCCCTCTCCCCATTGGTGTGCAGTGGCATTAATAAACACCCCTCTCCCCATTTTGTGTGCAGTGGCAATTAATAAACACCCCTCTCCTCATTGGTGTGCAGTGGAATTAATAAACACCCCTCTCCCCATTGGTGTGCAGTGGCATTAATAAACACCCCTCTCCCCATTGGTGTGCAGTGGCATTAATAAACACCCCTCTCTCCATTGGTGTGTAGTGGCAATTAATAAACACCCCTCTCCTCATTGGTGTGCAGTGGCATTAATAAACACCCCTCTCCCCATTGGTGTGCAGTGGCATTAATAAACACCCCTCTCCTCATTGGTGTGCAGTGGAATTAATAAACACCCCCTCTCCATTGGTGTGCAGTGGCATTAATAAACACCCTTCTCCCCATTGGTGTGTAGTGGCATTAATAAACACATTCATGTTCACCAACTTCTTATCAATTCATATTCGAGTCTGCTCATTGTAAATCTAGGCTTAAAGTCCAATGCAAGCCATACCTTTCTGTTGTTAAGAACTCACTGGATATATTTTCCTTTACTTCTCATCCCTGTCCCATTAGAACAAGAAACAAAGGAGCAGGGCATTGTCATGCCAGCAATAAAATCCTTGATACTAATAAAAGCGTTTTGTTATCCATTACTTTCTGTTTTTCTGACCCCTTGTCACCATTCCACATAGTGAAGGGAAATTTCCCCAGTGATATTACAGACAGCAGTCAGAACCAGGCAGAGTTTCCAATGTTTGCCCAGCCTAGAAATGCTTTGGCTGGATTTGGGCTTTACGTTATGAACAGATCAAGGACAAATAGCAAGGTTGGTGCACTTTTCTGAGGCAAGATATACATTTGCCTCTGTGTAAGGTGAACAAATGTTTTTCTGCACATTTCACTTTCTTTTTTTTTTTTTATTTTAAATCTTTCTTTTTGTTTTACAAATACAAAAAAAAAAAACATTCGGACATGGGAGTACAATTTTGTCATCCAATAAAATGACTGATGGTGATACAAAGATTAAACTGTTTAAAACACATTGTAAATCTCATATCTGAAATAGGGGGGTTAAGGGTTAAATAAAGGGGGAGGGGGACAATGAATAGCAAAAATGTAAACTGAGCAGGTACGTAGGAGCCTGCAGACTTTAATAGGCACTGTCCAAGTATGCAGCCTTGAGGACCACACAAAAGATACCAAGATCAATTGCAACCAGTGCTTTCCAGTACACAGCCGGGTCAGTAGGAGTTTGTGGTACCTCCCTAGGCCATCCGATCCCATGCTAGTGCCACCAAAGCTTCAGTGGAAAGACACCTAACCAAACAGCCTGGGTGAGAATGTCCACATAACGATTGCTAAGTTAAAAAAAAATCAAAAATCAACAAAATAACAATGAAAAAAAGGGGGGGGGTGGGGGAAGAACGCAAATCCAAGCAAAGACCATAGAGTCACACACTATAACCAAATTACAGCCTAAAAAGGCTAGTTTTAAAACCCATTAAGAAAAAAAAAAGGGAAAGGTTAAAAGGGCTTAAGATCATTGGTTTGTCTGGACAAGGTGCTTAACCACTTGCCCTCCAGAGGATTTATCCCCCTTCCTGACCAGGCCATTTTTTGCATTACGGCACTGTGTTACTTTAACTGGCAATTGCGCGATCATGCAATGATTTATTTATTATTATTTATTTCTGGTACTTGTATAACGCCGTCCATTTACGCAGCGCTTTACATATATATTGTACATTCACATCAGTCCCTAACCCTCAAGGGGTGTACAATCTAAGATCCCTAACTCACATTCATATACTAGGGCCAATTTAGACAGGATCCAATTAACTTACCAGCATGTGTTTGGAGTGTGGGAGGAAAAACGGAGCACCCGGAGGAAACCCACGCAGGCACAGGGAGAACATGCAAACTCCAGGCAGGAGGTGCCGTGGCTTGGATTTGAACCAATGACCCTAGTACTGCCAGGCGGAAGTGCTAACCATTTAGCCACTGTGCTGCCCAACGATGCACCCAAAATAAATTTACATCCTTTTTTTTTCACACACAAATAGACTAGTAATGGCCGCAATCAGCGACTTATAGCAGGACTGCGGTGGGCATTCTGACACTGGAGGGAACTGACTTGGTGTCACTGACATCTCCAGTGACACCAATACAGTGATCAGTGCTAATAAAAAGCACTGGCACTGTACTAATGGCAATGGGCATGAAGGGGTTAACATGAGGGGCGATCAAAGGGTTAGCTGTGTGCTCTTTCACTATGGGGGCTGCTTGTGTGCTTCACTATAAGCACAATGCTTTGTATGGCTCTGCTATGCAGAGCCATACAAAGCAGTGTGCAGGAGCTGACAGGGGAGAGATCTGTATTGTTTACATACAGGTCTCTCCGCCGTCAGTAATACTCCGAGATTGCCAGGTGCCGGCGGGTAATCACCGTCCGGGACCCGGTGATTGACAGCCGAGGCCACAAATGGCGGCTTGGGTAGGGCGTGCGCACGCCCCCCCCCACCTGGAACTGTAAAATCACGTGTATATATATATATGTGACTTTGCGCACCTGTGCCGCCCTGTAGCAGTATTTCTGCTATAGGGCAGCGCGAAACTGGTTAAACAAGGGATCAGCCAAGACCAGTGCCAAAGTAAAATATAAACTAGAGGATACCACATGTGAACCCAGATATAGTCTTGTGTACCCTTGCAAGTAGTGATCCACTCCTCAGCTTCCATAATCCAGTCACCTTCTGTAATGATTCCATAATCAGTCACCACCTTGGTCCAGTCCCTGTGGCTTGATATGTACAGTTGTTTTCAAAATAATAGCAGTCAGACATCACTAACCTGATCAATCACTGTTTTTGGTAGAAATGATATTTCTACATGGCAAATAATTTACTAGCAGGTGTAGTAGAGTAATAGAAATCCAACAGACCCAACAGTCATGACATGCATGCTGCTGATTCTGTGTACTTGAATCACTAATTGAAAGGGGCATGTTCAAAATAATAGCAGTATGGAGTTCTATTAGTGAGGTCATTCATTCTTTGAAAAACAGGTGGCAATTATTGCCCTTATTTAAGGAGGGAAGGCAGCAAATGTTGCACATGCTGGTTACAGTGCATTTCTCTCTGAAATTCTGAGGAAAATGGGTCGTTCCAGACATTGTTCAGAAGAACAGCGTACCTTGATTAAAAAGTTGATTGGAGAGGAGAAAACATATAAAGAAGTGCAGAAAATGATAGGCTGCTCAGCTAAAATGATCGCAAATGCTTTAAAATGGCAACCAAAACCTGAAAGACGTGGAAGAAAGCGAAAAACTACCATTCAAATGGATAGAAGAATAGCCAAAATGGCAAGAACTCAGCCAACAATCAGCTCCAGGAAGATCAAAGAAGGTCTAAAGTTACCTGTGAGTACTGTTACAATTAGAAGACACCTATGTGAAGCCAAGCTATCTGCAAGAAGTCCCCGCAAAGTCCCACTGTTGAAAAAAAGACGTGCTGAAGAGGTTACAATTTGCCAAAGAGCACATTGACTGGCCTAAAGAGAAATGACGCAACATTTTGTGGACTGATGAAAGTAAGATTGTTCTTTTTGGGTCTAGTGGCCGGAGACAGTTTGTCAGACGACCCCCCAAACACTGAATTCAAGCCACAGTACACTGTGAAGACAGTGAAGCATGGTTGCGCAAGCATCATGATATGGGGATGTTTCTCATACTACGGTGTTGGCCTATTTATCGCATACCAGGGATCATGGATCAGTTTGAATACATCAGAATACTTGAAGAGGTCATGCTGCCTTATGCGGAAGAGGAAAAGCCTTTGAAATGGGTGTTCCAACAAGACAACGACCCCAAACACACCAGTAAACCTGCAACATCTTGGTTCCAGACCAACAAGATTGACGTTATGGAGTGGCCAGCCCAATCCCCGGATCGTAATCCAATAGAAAACTTGTGGGGTGACATCAAAAATGCAGTTTCTGAGGCAAAACCAAGAAATAGAGAAGAACTGTGGAATGTAGTCCAATCATCCTGGGCTGGAATACCTGATCACAGGTGCCAGAAGTTGGTTGACTCCATGCAACACAGATGTACAGCAGTTCTCAGAAACAGTGCTTATACAACTAAATATTCATTAAGTGATTCAAAGGACAGCAAAATCTTCAAACATTTTTCAGTTTATATAGTGAATGTTTGAGTTTGTAAAGAATACAAACTGCTATTTTTTTTGAACAGTCTAATATTCACTTTTCATGTTTTGATTTGGAATAGAATGTGTAGTGTTCCCAATGCATTTGTGTGTATGGAAATAAAAGCTATTAGAAGGATTTTGAGCTTTATTCACTTTTTTCAACACACTGCTATTATTTTGAACACAACTGTAGGTGTTCTTCCAGTGAATCGGTATGAGACGTTTAGCTGCCTTAAGCAGGTAAGGGAGAATGCTACACTTGTAATGACTGAGTGGAAGGGTGTGAACATAGAGCAGGAAGTGTATCGGAGAAAGGGGCAAATCAGTCCAAAAGGGGCAGATCAGCCCAAAAGAAGTGCATTCCGACCACATATGGAGGAACGTGCCTCTCTGGCTGCAGCCTCGCCAACAAAGATCAGGAACTGCAGGATAAATCCGAGCAAGGGTCATGGGCACACGATACCACCTCGTCAACAGTTTTGTAATTGTTCTCCTGCATTTTAGAGTCTACAGAGCTAGAATGAGTCAGTTGATATAAGTGTTGCAGTTGCTCCTCAGATAACTCACACTGGAGGCCACACACCCATTCCCTTATATATACTGATATATATCCCTTATATATCAAAACTGGAGAAGTGGAATTAAGTAACTTACATAGGATGGAAATCATATGTGTGATAGGATCTTTGCAGTCCAAAGGCGTTCAAATGGCGTAAGAGTGGACATTGTCCGAGTAGGGCGTCCCTGGGAAAGAAAATCGTGATGGAGCTGGCTATATCGCCAAAAGTCCAAGGAACAGCTGCCATAGCGTTCTCAAAATCTCGCCCCCCCGCCACTCCAGAAATTTGAAAATACTAACATCCCCATCACAGGCCCGGACCCATAAAAAGTCTAAACTCTCCCTAGGGAGAAACCTGGTTTAACCCCCAACTGGCGCCAGTGGCAAAATGGGAGGTACCAATGAGAGGGAGTTATTCAATCTATACCAGATCACATTTTAGTTCTACATTGAATGATTACCAGTTTACATATAATATACATTTTTATCTTGCGAACATTTCTAGATTTTTTTTCATTTGCAAAGAAGTTTTTTTTAATCATTTTGTAACATGTTTTCCCTTCATAGTGCTCTTCTCTAAAATAAACCTCTCTTTTAGGCATTTCTTGGCAAAGTGCTGTTTGGAGAATCCCGTGCTATTCTCTGGTGGGTTGGAATTTCGATCACTCTCTGTGGACTGATTTTACTGCACACGTTTTCACCACAAGCAGAAGATCCTGCAAAGAAGAAGAGTTAGAAGAGGTCATCGTTTTGTTGATCAGTTTTACCTGAGCGTTTTGTGTGCTAGTGTATCTTTACTGGGGAACTTGATTCTCTTGTCCTCTGTTTACCTGTACATTTTAGGGGACGTACATATGTAGTTACAACAACACAAACCATTAGGGCTCATTTGGACTTGCCGCAGAAGGGCATTAAAAATGCACATTTTTTTTTTTGCCCCTCCAACTGTGACCCTTAAGCTGCAAAATCAGCAAACAAAGATGTTCACATGATGCAGTTGCAATACTTTGCTTCATGCCCATGGCAAAGTTTACTGCTCCTGTCTCATTCGGCGGTCAGTACCGCTACTGATTGGAGATTTGTCACAAAAGATGTTCAACTCACAACCGCAAGCAATGCATATGCTTGTAATGCAGCATTTATTGCGGTTAAAAAAGGCGATGAAGAGATGTAATTTGCGGATCACTTTTCAGAGGCATGGCAGGTTAGATGCAAGTCTAAAGTTAAAAGAGAAATAGGGGATGACTTTTTTTCCTAAATTGTACTCACCTAGGTGGTTTCAGCATCGGTTCAATGCTGCATCTGTCCCCTGCTGTCTCTAAGTGTGAGAACTCAGCAATCACATTATCGCTGATTTCTCAACACCGCTGTGAGCAGAGAGCGATGACTGTCAGTCAGCGCTCTCTGCTCTGACCTCCACCCGCACTCACTGGAGCGCTGGACTGTGGAGGGAGCGGCTGACTCAGGCTGTCAGTGGCTCGCTGAGAGACTGAGCCAGGTGCCGCTCCAGACTCTGGGGTGCATCCCGACATTAGTCGGGATCTTTTCCCAATCTGGACCAGCTGAGTGACATCTGCTGACTGCGTGCTTCAGCCCGCTATCAGCTGAAAATGGGTCATACTTCTATTTTAACTTTAAGGCTAAGTTTAGACTTGCATCTAACCTGCCATGCTTCTGAAAAGTGATCCACATATGACGTCTCTTCACCGCCTTTTTTAACCACATAAGGGATCCTTTTGTTTTGCCCTGCAGAATTGGGCAGGTTCACTTTAATGCACTGCATGAAATACATACAGTATGAGACCAAAGAGATGAACCAACAGCAACATGGAGAAGACCTTTACTTTATTTGTTCCATATTGGACACATTTCTGCACTGCTATTTGTTTATACTGACAATAAAAAAAAAAAGACTGATGTTTCTACAAATATTTAATAACTTTTTTTCATTCATCTTATCCAATGAAAAAAATTGTTGCACAGTCACTTTGTAAATCAGGAGCAATCAAAAATGTGACACTTATCTAGCTTAGAGGAGAAGCGGTTGTTTCCATGCGGAGAGGAGAAGAGGTGTGGAGGACATTCGGAGGGAGTGTGCATCAGGTTGCCAGCATAGCACTCACCACCGCACCTGAGAGGGAGAGAGGCGCAGTGGCAGACATTCTGGAAAACCACTACCACTGGCTGCCTAACTGAGAAGGACACTGACCAGTTGTGCTGCTAACAGAAAACAGAGGGAGATCACCTGCTGCCACAGGAGTTGGTGAGAGGCTGCTGGTCAAACCCCACTACACTCTAACACGCCTTAAGAGGAACAGTGTTGCCCTGCAAGTATTACAGAGCCTTTATCAGTACTTGAAAGAACATCGTGAGGCTCCGACATAACAGGTGGGCCCCAGAGGGATGGCCAGCAGAATTAAGTGGGTATATTACATTGCTGAATTGTTATGGTGGTGTAAATCTCCTTAGTTAGGATTGCTCCAGTATAGAATTTAGGAGGGGTTTGCTCTCTGATTATGGTTTGTTTTCCACACTATGTATTTCTTGTCACTGGTCACCTATTTGCAGTATTTTTCTTGCTATTGTTTATTTGCAGTGCTATGTTGTTCCTATCTCTTTCACCTTTGGGGTTCTACATCTATATGTTCAATAAATATTCTGAATCCAGACAGTTGTGTCAGAGTGCGTGGTGCTATTTGCAGAATCATAGGCACAGGAGCAGGGGATCTGAGAAAACAGCAGCTCCTACAGAGGTAAGCGGCACACTTTTTAACACAATCGCCGTACATTTCTTAGAACAGTTCTTTGGTTGGCCAGTATAAAATATTGTCATGAGGGTGGTATGGTTTTTTGACATGCTAAAGGAAAGCTATTAATAAAAATGACCATTGTATGAAACATATTGCTTACTGTATGTACTGCACTGGTCATTTTACCATATGCACATCACCTTATCCATATATTCATTTTTTTAGCTCTGAACATATAATAACACCACAATGATGTTTTGCTCCAACTGCCACTTCCACCCTTTTTCTCTGTAGACATATCACTTCTGGGTAGTAATACAGTAAGATAATACAAAGATCATCCTGATATTTTCATAACTACAGAGGGTATCAAATACAAACTATACAAAGGGTATAAATAACAAATAAATACCCTGAAATAAAGAGATATGCTATATTATATTTTCACTTTAGTTGGCTGTCGTAGAACGTGGGATGCTATCATCATCATAAATTGTAAGACTTTGTTAATATCCTAAAATTTGACTAAAAATACAAAGTATTCAACCACAAAACTTTCCTAATTTTGTTTGTGGGAGTAAGCTCTTCTCCACCTGCACTATGTCTCCCTCTTAAAGTGGATGAAATCTTAAAAACCCTGACAGGTAGGCATCTGCACCTCTGTGTACATTTATGGCACCACTTTGTGCCATGGTGATGTGACTCCTGTGTGTATGCACAGAAGTGACGTCATTGTGACATGGCTAACCAAGTGGCCGAAGGTTTGGAACCCAGAAAGAAGACCAAGAGAAGATAACAGCACTGGAGGGGAACGCTTGCTAGGCAAGTCTACCATAATGTGCTAATATTCCATATATACCAGCACAGTATGGCAAACAGTTCATGGGGACCAATTAAAAAAAATGGTGAAAATTCAATTCCACTTTACACATATGCTGTGTATTACAGACAAGAATAGCAAAATATAGTAATCTCATTGTGAGAAAATTGGAGGGGCTGTCATTGGTGATGATCTCCATTTCAAAAGTTAGTTGACAACAGTTTTGCTGAATTTCACATTTTCTGTGTTACTGATCCATATTAGGGATGCAGATCAGGAAGTGCACTTATCCTTTAAGCCCCCCTCCACTGACCCAAGCTACCTCACACTCCCAGCTGCATACTTGAATCCTTAAGGCCCTATTCACACGTGAGAGTTTCATAGCTTTAGCCCTGGGTTCACAACTGATGCGGCTTGGAATTTGCAGCGTTTTCAGTGCAAATTCCGCACCGCATCAGAATCGCACCCCGTTCATGTGAACCGCTGCGGGTGTGTATGTTAACAACCTGAAAGCAGTCCACAAAACGCGGTGCAATGTGAAGAATCAGATCACATAGGTGTGAATACCCATGCCATCCAATTCTAGTGTGGATCAAAAAAAAAGGGTCTTGCACCTTTTTGGTGCGGGTGCGGTGCGATTAGAGCCATAGATAATGTACAGTTCCAATTGCACCGCACACAAATCCCACGTGATTTGCACAGGAATGCGTTGCGGTTCCTGTGCGAATCACATGCGATATACTGCACCGCATATATGTGAACCCAGGCTGAAGCTCAAAAAACAAGCAAAAATCTATTGTTTTCAATAGCCCTTCACATCTGAGCGTACTGTCACTTGTAGCCAAACACCTGTTGCTCCAAAAAGTACACAAGCTGCTTTTCGGGCAAAATTGTGCGTTTTTGTCCCCATAGACTTCAGAGGAAACACCTGAAAAGTGTGACATGAGCGTTTTCAAGCGTTTTGTCACACATTTTTAGCTCAAACAGCAGCTCTTCACCCCTTATTCAGCTTTCCATTGGTCACATAAAAAAACGCCTAGTTGAAAAACACCTGAGAAAAGCTGCAAAAACGTGCAATTCTGCTCCACAAAACGCTTGAAAATATGTGTGAATGTAGCCTAAGATACAGCCGCTGGAGTTTGTTAGCATCCAGAATTATACTGTACATCTCTGTGTTGGCTGCACCTGAGGAGTACGTCCCCATGGTCTTCTTTAGGGCCCTGTTTCCATGCTAGGGAATCTCAGGAGACCGTTCTATAGAGGTGTATGGGAAGCTACTGGTCAGGCATGGACAGCACACATAGGATGTTTAGCTAGGGAGGTAAACAAACACCAGAGGGCATGGCCACTGAAACTAGGTAAAGTATGTATCTGAGGAGAGGGACAAAAGGTAGTTTAAGGTCAGGAGGCAAAAAAGGACAAATGCAATGTTTTTTAACCGCTTCCCAACCGCCCTATAGCAGAACTACTGCTACAGGGAAGCAGGGCTGTGCAAAATCACATATATACAGTCAGGTCCATAAATATTGGGACATCGACACAATTGTAACATTTTTGGCTCTATACACCACCACAATGGTTTTGAAATGAAACAAACAAGATGTGCTTTAACTGCAGACTGTCAGCTTTAATTTGAAGGTATTACATCCAAATCAGGTGAACGGTGTAGGAATTACAACAGTTTGCATATGTGCCTCCCACTTGTTAAGGGACCAAAAGTAATGGGACAGAATAATAATCATAAATCAAACTTTCACTTTTTAATACTTGGTTGCGCTTAATACTTGGTTGCAAATCCTTTGCAGTCAATTACAGCCTGACGTCTGGAACGCATAGACATCACCAGACGCTGGGTTTCATCCCTGGTGATGCTGTGCCAGGCCTCTACTGCAACTGTCTTCAGTTCCTACTTGTTCTTGGAGCATTTTCCCTTCAGTTTTGTCTTCAGCAAGTGAAATGCACGCTCAATCGGATTCAGGTCAGGTGACTGACTTGGCCATTGTATAACATTCCACTTCTTTCCCTTAAAAAAACTCTTTGGTTGCTTTTGCAGTATGCTTTGGGTCATTGTCCATCTGCACTGTGAAGCGGCGTCCAATGAGTTCTGAAGCATTTGGCTGAATATGAGCAGATAATATTGCCCGAAACACTTCAGAATTCATCCTG